AAAACAAAACAACTCGCAAAACAAAACTTGGGAAACTCATAATTGCCATTTTGTATCAACACAATAGGATAAGTTCAAAGTTTTACCAGGAGACCACCAATTTCATTTCAGCCTGTTTGTCAAATCAATTTCATATCAGACATTTAAAACTGAAGAGGTCATTTCCATAACATATTGGTTTGAGCAAAATCCTACTTTTGTCTGGAGAATCTCAAAGTGAAAATTCTTGGCTGAAACTCTTAAAAGATATGCTTGGTGTGCATGTCATAACTGTAAATCTCAGAGTACTTGAAGAAGTAGCTGTTCCCAACTGACCTATAAGGCACAGCAAATAAAAGCCATTCCTTTGACAGAGAGCTGTAAGTAACAAGGTAGTGGTACCTGGGAATTACCTAAGTTAAGCTATTTTTATTTATCTTCTAAGGCAACTGAGCTATATGCTTTACAAGAGGTTACTGTTATGATCCACTACAATAGGACAAGTATTAGTTAGCCTTCCTATGCCACAGAGAAGTTGGGGAGCCCAAAGAAAGTGGATTAAGTAAAATTATCCTGTGTGTAGAAGAGGACTGTGTTGTACCACTCTAACTGCTTACACGGGATTTCGTACAATCCCTGTATGTAATATGCTATGATTCTTTGATTCTATGATTCTGAGTGCTCACCAGAGAGCTTGTGATCCTGACAGCCACACAAGGAAAATACCCACACCCATAATGGTTACAAATGTCCAGAGGCCCTCTCAGCTGTTAACTGTGTTGTGGATTTACAGGACCCCATTTATTTCAGCCATTTGCCTGGAGAAGGGGGAGCTGACTGAATTCATCAAACTTCTACAGAGCATCTCTAAGAAATACCTGATGATTAAACCTTATTCCAATATAGAGTTTATAAGTCCTTTAGCAAAAACTTGGTGACAATTAAAGCATGCTCAGGAACACAGAGTCTTTGTACTTTCCTAACCTTGTGTTTTCCTTATTTGTGTTTTCCTAATACACTCTTGAATTGCTCACATAAATGACAATCCTGGATGTCGCCCTGTTTGCATCTCATGTGTTAAAACTTACTGGTTTGCACATGTAGCCTTGGTAAGGAAAAGAAGAAAGCCCCTTCAAGCCTAAGAGTTTATCCTGTCGAGACAAGCCTCCTTTACCCTCAAGAGCCAGTCAGTGCTGCCCATGGGTCAGGCTTAAGAGGTTCCACAGCAAGTTGGTCCTGGATGACACTTGATAAAATCTTAACAACACCCTGTGGGAATTTGCCTCTGAGCTCAGCAGTCAGTGAATAGAGGAAATACCAAACATCTGCAGAGCTTTCCTGCGCTGTGTGGGGCAGATAGAGGAAGGTTTTCTCAAACGCACAAGCAGCAGGACTGAGCACTGACCACTCCCAGGTCATCATAAGCGTCACGGAGGAGTCACAGTGTCTGGCCACCACGGGAGTGTCCCTCAGAAAGGGCTGGTGTGGAGGAGTATAAGATCTCAATTGAGTTCATTTTTTCAGGAGGGTGTTCTTTTTTTGCAAAGAAGTCAAGTCAGGTCCTGTTCAAAATGCATTTCCAGTGTCCTTCTAATTAACATAAAGGAGTTGCAGCTTGGGTTACCCTGTGAACACTTTTGATGTCTAAAGGTATTTTTCTACATGTGTTTACTATGGATGAAATATTAGTCACATTGAGAATGCTATTGCCCTACTGCCCAGGGGATGCAGGGCAGTGACCACAAGGTACAATTTGGCTGACTGAGTTGCATCACTGTATATCCTGTGGTTGTAACAATAACTGCAGTGCAGCCCTTTCCAAAGGAAAATAGCAGACTGGCATTATTGGAAAGAAGGGCCGATAGTTGTAAATGGATTAATAAAGATAATAGTAATAATTAGGAGACTTATGACAGCTCGTGGCAAACGTTTCTCAGTTGCCCAGAGTGATTTATTAGATTTAAGATAACACGCAAGAGAATAGATCATAAAATAAACTTAGCAAAGCTTTTAGAATACCAACTCTGGGGACTTGTTGTTTATAAGCACTGTGAACATCAGAGAATGAAAATGTGCCTGCTGCAAAAGTCATTAATATGCACCACAGCTGGTCATCTTATGATAATCCAGTAATTTACATACCTTAGCTGACCAGGTCAGAGACTAAAGGTGAGTGAAAATGTGCTGCCAATCATTTCTAAGCTTCTTCTTCCACTAAGAGAAACATTTGTGTCTTGGCTGAAAAAAGGCCTATTTTTATTTTTAGCACTAATGCCTCTTAGCTCTAATGGTTACTTCAAGTAATAATAAAGATTCATTAGCAATATTTTTAGTTGTAAAACATGCACTACAATCTAGTTTGAACACTGATAATATATAATTTTCAACAGATTATGCTGTTGTTTGCCAGGAGGGACTATCCACAGATACTAGAGAAGGAGAAAAAGCATTTGCTTTCATGTCAACACCCAGCTTGTGCATTGCAAAAGATGGAGCATGGTGAGGGTCCGCTACAAATCACTGAAAGTTTCCAATCATTTTCCCTGTTTATCATAGAAGTATCAGAATTACATGAGATAGATACATCATTTCATTACCTTTGAATGACAAACCCTCTCTGCTCTTCCATGTATCTCAAAATACCCTTTTATTGAACGTGAAGATTGCTTGTAGTTCTAAGTTACTTAGGGATGACAAAAATGGGCAAGACACAGAAACACCCATGGTGATTGAACACTACTCACCGTCTTTCACAGTGTGACAATGAGCTCTATGGTATCACCTCATAAATGCTGACATTTGTGCATTATGCATTCATCCACAGGTGAGCTACAGCAGAAACTGATGACAAATCCTTCAGTCATAAGTGCCTACCTGAAACATGGCTGAGCATTCTAAATGCAGGGAAGACCATTTTAGTCCTTAACAAATATTGGCTCTTATTTGTTGATGACAAACAAGACATCTTGTGATGACAAGTGCTGACTTCATAGCAGATTTCCAGTACAAAATTGCTTTAACTTGATTTGGCTATTTCCTTAGAAAGCTGTCATTTTGTGGAAGATTGAAATGTGGCAAGAGATTGGGTATAGACAGCTGAGTGAGGGCTTATCTGCACTCTACTGCCACATTCGTGAGTGTTTCTGAAGTCATCTTTAAAAAAAATTTCATATCCAAATCTGTGTTCTCTCAATCTTTTGGGTTCTATTGTGCCCATTTCCACCTTGGCTGTGGCAACAGAAAGAATATGTATAAACAGACTTGGACAGCTTGCATCTACCAGCGTAATGCACTAAGGGTGAACATCAAATAATGTTAGTTTTAATGTAAATATGTTTTTTAAATCATGCATAGAAATAATAAATTGCAGCGCTATAGAACTGGTAAATGGCATTTTAAACATTAGGTTAATGATAACTGAATTTGTGGATAGCACAAATGTGGACTACAATGGAAGTTACATTCTATTCTAAGGAAATGCTTGTTCTGTTTCCTATAGTTGAATTCCCTTAATTCCAACTCAGAACAGCAGCTGGCTTGTCTTCGTAGTTGTCTTTAGCTTTTAGCAACATGAAAATTCAATGGCCAAAACTGTAAAAATGTCTCCTGCTATCACAGAGACCTGATGGATGCCCTTGATGGACCTCCCACAGCCACAGGGATATTGGACTGTGTCTGAGCCACAGGGCAGCTGCTGGCAGGATGCTTCAGCTAGACAGAATAAGAGATAAAGCAGCCATACCACTGCTAATCTACCACCAAGCTAATAAGATATCTCTGATGAGAGATATCGCATGGTGATATCTCTTCAAATTGCGTTCCTGATGGAGTTACTACTCCTGCACTGTGCTGTAGCTCATTGCTGTGAATATTCCAGTTTGGTTCTGTGCAAGCTCCATGCCTCTTTAGTCACAGTGCATCAATGCACTGGAAATTATTAATTTCTTTTATTTAGGCCATTATTAATTTATGAATATTAATTCAGAAATGCTGTGAATTTGCAGTTCAGTATGGTTGTCATACTGTGATCTGCAGTACAATAGCAAATTTTTGTGACTAAATGGAGCCAGTACTTGGATGGAGCCCCACCTCACAAAATCTACCATGGGAGCAAGGGATACTTTGCGTCCTCTGGCCTTAGCTTGTTTCACACAAACCAGCTTTGATCTGTAAGGGCTGCAGCTACTTCCAGATGTACATGCTTCTGGGTCCTACCAAAATCCTAGGTTGTAGCCGCTGTTAGTTCAAAGGGAGAGTGCAGGGAGCACAGCTATATTGCTTCTGAGCCAACAGAGAAAACTGCCCTGCGGTAGGCTGGGTGGCCTCCCGGGGCATAGAGAGGTGAGAGCTCATCTCTGCATAACTCTCAAACTCTCAGCATGCTGCAGACAGGCTCTGACAGGCCCCAGGCAGTGCATGTACAGCCAGACCCATGCACAGGGAGCGTTTGTAAGGCTCTGTCAAACCAAAACTCTTTTTTTTTTTTTTTTTTTCTCACTAAGGCTATATCCAGATCATACTGTATTTTTGATGAAAAACTTTGGGGGTTTTCCCCGGTAGCTATGGCCCAAAGAGGGGGGAAGGGAGGACAGTCTCATGTTCTTTATTATCTTAGCTTTATAGTAGCTATGGGAACTTTTTTAATTGCAAAAAATAAGGTATGTTTTATTTTTAAATGGAGTCCAAGAAAGGCAGCTTTCAGCCTCCAGGTGGCAAGTTTCAGAAGCAATCACCTTCTCATGCAAATAGTTGCCTGTTCTCTGTTTTCAGCTGCCATAGAGCAAATCCCTTAGCAGATAGGTGTATGCACAGCTGTGAGATTCTTCTGCTGGTAGGAATGTCAGGAAGGAAAGTGTTAAATGCTGAGGGTAAACAGCACCCGATTTGTTACGTAGTCAGCAGGGCAGAGAAGATCCCACAGATAAACCCAGCCTCTGAAGCTTCTCCCCAGCTCAACTGGTTATTGCTCAGCAGCAGTTCTTACTCATCTGAATCTAGGTGGAGCTCCTTTCCTGCCTCCATTCCTCCCTCCCTCTCTGCTGTGTCTCTCCTGACTTTTCTCAAACATCTGTACGTGTGGCTGTAGGTACTGGCACTCACTTTGCAGGAGCTTTGCAGAAGCACCCACTGCTTTGCGCTTTGCGTCGCTGAGTCTGTGGCAGAGACTCTTGTTCCCGTCCCACCAGCCACCCCTGCCCTGAACAATGGTGAAGTACGGCCTCGACTACACTCGGTGCAGATGGATCCTACCCCTGCTCCTGGGCATAGGAGTCATCTTCGGTATCATTGCGCTGGCGGGCAGGGGCTGGTTGGAGTCGCAGACCTTGCCCTACGTGCAGCAAGCGTCCTTATGGGAGAACTGCAGGAGGCCTGATCAGGGTGGGGAATGGAGCTGCGAGTCCCTCATGGGTTACGGTAAGCGCCTGCAAGGGTGGCGGGGAGCAGTCTCTGCAGCAGCGGGTCACATCTGCAAACTCATCTTCCCTCAGTTCTCCTAACCGTATCACCCAATATCTGGCATTTATATATGAGGTTATGGGCAATAGAGACTGTCACTGAAATACATCAAAGGCTTTTGACTACATGGGTGAAGAAATAAAGTGCCCTCACCCCTGTGAAATAAAAAACCGATGGGTTACATCATACAAAACCCCACACACATGGTAATGTACCATTGCAGAAAATATTACAGCATTTTCTTACTCTCTTAGAAGAAGCTGGTAACCTCTTCTCACTAATCACTACTTTTCAAAACTTAACGGCTAGTGCTGATCAAATATCCAAACAGCAGGTTGTGTGGGTAAGCCTGGCATTACAGTGACAAGCAAGTCTGAGTGCCAGCAAGAAATGAGGAGGTAAAAACGTAAGATGGTAGGAAGATATTCCCAGGGAGTGTCAGGCTGGAAAATGCTGCCTTGAAACTGCTCCGGTGGGTGGGTTGTGTGAAAAAGTCTCCTTGTGATTATGAAAGAAAGCTTTAAAAGATGAAAGGACTTCTTGTTTGTACTAAGTTTTGGTTAAGTATGCTATTAAACATGTTGTTGACCCAGGTGCAATCTTCAACTTAAAAAGATGTAAACCACTGAGCCTAGGAGAAGAGCCCAAGAGAAGGGTCACTATAGATGTGCCCTGTTTCTTTTCTTTTTACCTTTTTTTTTTCTTTCTGTATATCTGCTATTGGCCATGGTCTGAAACAAGTAATTGTGAAAGAAGGGCTGTTAGCCTGAGCCAGGAAGAAAGTTCGTGTGTTCTTAAAATTTACGATAACTCATATGAAAATAAAGAACCTTTTCTCTAAGACTAAAAATTTCAGCTTTTATTCTTGAAAATGAGTGTAAAAACACTTGTAGAAGCAATCTCAGGGATCATTTATTACAGTTTTTCAAAATTGTTCCTGGAAGTTTATTGTACATCATCAAACTCTACCTTCTATGCACAAAATTTGGCTGTAATGAGTTAATTGTAGCAGGCCTCTGTGAGTGTTGGGCTCCAGGGCAAGACCAGCGCTATTGAGCATCACACCCAGTCCTGCTCTCAGGGCTTCACCATCAGCTGTGTGGCTGGGCATTAAGGCAGGCCAGCAAGTTGGCCTCTGGTACATCGCTAGAGAGCAGGAGAGAGAACATGATGCTTAGCAAAGGGCTTCTCCCTAGGCTTCTCCTCCTAGGTTTCCTGAAGAGCCAGCCCTCCTCTTAATCTCCAGATAGAGCCCTAGAGAATGCCACAAATGCCAGCTTTAACTGGATAGAAAATACCAAGACATTTCACCTAGCTTCTCTTGATAATACAAGAGAATTTTCACCTTGCTTCCAGGTCCCATATAGTTGTTTGACATTTCACTTCCCTATCCTGCCTCACTCTGATAGCCTTAAATTCTGCATCTATATGCAGTTTCCCCCTGGACAGCATCTACAGACAAGCCAGAGAGATCATCCTCTATGTGGACTATCCTGCAGTGTCTGGGGTTGCCATGAATCACTTCCACAGTGAGTCCAGCACTTTTAACACAGACATGTTGGACTTGGTACACATATGCAGAATATGATATGGCAGGTAAGTTGGAGAGTCAGCTGATGTTTCTGAAAGCATTAGAAATGCTGCTTATGAGCTGCATGACTGCATTATGCTCTCAATGGGCAAGCATCCATCATTTGACCTCTTCACAGTGAGTAAATACCCAGGAAACATAAGCAAATCCTCAAAATCCTCCTGGACAAAATTTCCAGGTGAAAGTGAAGAATATGTCTGGGACAATGGAGTCACTTAGCCAGTGGGAGAACATGTAAAGCCTGTATGTAAACAATGTATGCATAGGCCAGGTGACAGTGGATTACACTGCCAGGCTTCTGCCTCGGTGAGATTATGCCATTGAAATGTGGATCTTGTCCTTCCCAGGGGTGAGTTATTCTTAACCCATGAGAAGGCTGTAGACTGACTATTAAAGATGAAATCTCATGTCACTGTCCTGATCTTTCCAGACCTTTCCCTCAGACGTCTTTTCTCCAGAGGAGAGTTGTGCTCAGGTTCAGTCCTGGTCTTCCATTTTTCTGTGCTCAGTGGTGTGGGATTGGGATTTTAATTCTGTGACTCCTGCCTTTTCTTATGCAGGGTGCAGGTGGCTGATGCTGGTCTTGGATTCCAATCAAAAGACAAGGCCATGAGACAGCATCTCACTTGTGAGCGTCCAGGTCTTGTATTGAGCCTGAATCTACCTGCCACAGTGTTTAAACATAGGGTTTTAACAATTCTGGGATTGTGTTTATCCACAGCACTCCAGAAAGGCCTTGGAAAACAAGCAGTCAGCATCATGTGGGATGTTTAACTTTGTGCCAAGCTAAACACAGTACTGGTTAAACAAAGTGTAATTATCCACCTCCCTGAGTGCAGAGACAAAAGACATGGTGTAAACATGAATGACAGAAGTGTTTTACATCCTTCCTGAGATGAGATCTCCTTCCCCCCTCTATTCCACAGTTTCCATCTCGTTTCTTCTGATCTTTACTTTCAGCTTCCCTGTCTAATCTGCCACTAGCTGGGTAGGTTCTGAAATTCCTGCGGGGATGGTTTCACTGATATATGTGATATGCATGTGTACTCCAGCAGCTGCCAGGAAATATTGTCAACATGACTTGGACAGTGTAGTTATCTTAATCCACTACAGACATCTTCATCATATCGTAATTAGATATAATTGTAACATTCTTGCAAGTTTTTAATTATGATGTGCAAATCCAAATCAAATGCTGCACGTGCAATGTTTATAATTCCCCTTGATTTTCTGCTGTTTGGCTTAAGATGTGTTTATACACAGTCAGAAGACAAAAAACCAATATCACTGAGGTCGGTCAGATTGGAAGGGAAGTAGGCTGAGTGTTTCATTGGCTGCATCAGTGGAGTTTGGAGTGTCTGAGTAGCTGCTTAAACTGGCGCAATTAAAACCTCACAGGGTCCCAGAGAAGACTTTTTTTTTCTTTTTTTTTGAAAACCAGCAGAGTAGCTCCACCTGTGCAGTTGTCTTTTGTGAAAGTATCAGTTCACATGTGGTCTTTTGCAAAGTTTATGAGAATAGAAAGAGTTTATACAGTTATCTTCTCCAAGAGTTCAGATCATCTGCTTTAACCATATGGCACTCATGTAGTCTTTGTCAACAGTCTTTTGCTTTTCAAGTGTATTAAGTTCAAATAAATAGGACTTTCTACGTAAAAATGTCCAGTGCATTAGGACACTTAGAATGCATGGAGTTTAGGATGAAGAGCTGAGAGATACAAACAGCAGCTCTTCATTGTTCTGTCTTCGTGAAGAGAGATGAAGACATTTGAATAGACAATGAGCAAGATATGGAATGTATCTGTCTGGGACATGGCTAAGGTTACAAAAAAAAAGCAGAGGTTAAACCCCACTATGTAAACCCCACTGGTACGGCACTCCTTTGTTTTTCTTGATCTTTGGCTGTACTGCTTCTCTTGAACAAGGTGTGTCTTGCAGACCTGAGACACTTATTCAGTATGTAATTTTATTCCACTGCAGGCTTTGAAGATGTTTAAACGTGTAGGTTTGGTTGGAGGAAAAAAACTGATTTTATTAGTCTTAATGTGATGCATTGTAGGGTGAAAAACGCGTGGCCACACTTGTCCCATGTTCCACCCAGCCCTGCAGTTTTCCCATGTGCAGATGCTGCCATCAAAACAACTGAAAATTCAAAGCTTGAAGTTTAGATTGAAGTTATCAGCTCATTAGTATAATGCAAACACAGATCTTGGGGAAAAAAATTAGGAAAAGGCTTTCCCAAGTGGCAAGTGGAATTCAGTTGCTGAGTTATTTTCACATCATAATATTCAACTGCAGCCTTTTTCTAGGATGTGTGGAGGGTTTAGTGGCTGTGGAGATTAGTGGAGTGATGAACGATTTTGCCATCATGATTTTTGTGGAGAGGACATCTTCCTGCAGCTTGTCCTCCAGGCAAATCACTGGTAACTAGGTAATTCCAGTTTTATTTTGATCTATGAATATTACTGCAATACTACAAGGTATGAAGGCTAGTATAGTATGATTATAATGAAAAAAATTACTTCAAATATGACACTGGATGAGTATGGCTACAAGGTAAGTGAAAGAGAGAATGTTGCAAACATAATAAGCTTCTTGAGGAAAGAAATATTCTGCATCCCCTTTGATGAATAAGATTTTTTCCCTGTTTTGCCTGTATCAGGCTCTTGTTTCTGTAGAATCTTTTGCTATGATGAAGCACGCTTTAATATCCTGGAGGAGGAACAAAATGGAAATCACTTACTGAAAGGGTAATGATACAACAGCAGGTACAATTCTCAGGAAATGATACAACAGCAAGGTTCATGGTGTGGTTGGAATCAGTTTCCAAGCAGCAAAGGCTCTCTCTTGGTACTAAATCTACCACCCTGAGCAGAATGACACAGGGATATTTCCAGAGGGACAGAGTGGGATACAGCAGGGCTTGGGAGGAGAAGCAAGCTGTCCCAATAGCTCTTTGGCATCTGAGAGTATTCGTATATTCAAATAGAAATGAAAGAAGCAAGTAAGTTTGCATTTGAAGCAGAGACCTGCTAAAGTCACAGTGCCTTTACTGCAGATTTTCCCTGAAGTCAAGGTTCTACATTTAACAGCGTTCAGAAACTGGTGAAATCCAAGTACATTTGTGAAAGTGTCCTTGCAGTTGGGAAACAAAGGCTGGGGATGTTTCTGACCAATCCAAGGAAGCCTGTGGGAGAGCCCAGGATGGAGCCCAGCTCTGTGCCCCATAAATGTCCCAGATTACAGGGCAAGCCTTGACTCCTTTGACACAGGGTCAACTGAAAACCAAAACCTGTTGCTGTTCCTACTACATCCTAGCATGAAATGGTTATATTTATATAGACTGATTGCCTGTAGTTTAATGACAA